GCCGTCGAATCACATCGGCGACTGTAGCTGACTGTCCCGTCGCCACGATCCTCACGTCGGCGTCGCTCCTCCATCCCACCCGGCCCGTCCACCGCCGACTAAGTCACGCTGGCTTCCCAATCCTCCTTCTCCGCTTCCAGTGGCCAACGCAGGAGGCGCTCTTCTGCTGCAAGGCAATTGCCGCCCAGTAATATCAACCTTCCGGATAGTGCAGAGTCGCGGAGCAGGTTAGGCACAACCAGCGGTCTTCACGGCCGCTCGCTGGGCGAAGCCTTACCCTCCATCCCTGGCACGCCAGGCGCCTTCGAAATGTCGAGATCGCCTTCGCCTCAGCCAGGCGGATGGTCGAGCCCGGGCTTGAATACCCCATACGATAACAGTGGGCGGACGAGCCCCTACCCGAATGGCTCCTCTTCACACAATGTCACTTGGGCATCTGCTCAACAGCGGAGTGCTGAGGTGAAAGGATACCCCGGCTTCACCCCGAGAAACCAAGGCTTCTTCGGCAAGCACTTTCGCAGAATCTCTACAAGCTTGCCCTTCAACCACGGCGACAAGGAGAAACTAGGTCGTGGGCGGTCGCAAAACAAAGTAATGCGTGCTTTGAATGGCATAGCCTGGACAATATGGCGTCTGCGGAAACGGGTCGCATTGGTACTATTCGTAGTATTCTTCTTTATTTTCTACAATTCGAACACACGTAAGTCATTACCTCCTCCAAGGCCCCCTCTCGCGATTGGCATTGACAGATCTAGCCATCCGTCGTATGTACAGACGGTCCGCATGGTTCGGCGGCGGCAGTAAATACGTCGTTATACTCGCAGCGAACCAAGGTGGAGGTGTTATGGAATGGAAGGGTCCCCGCGAATGGGCTATCGAACGCGACAGCGTCAAGAATAAGAAGAAGTACACAAGAAATTGGGGCTACGAATTGGAGATCGTAGACATGAGCACCAAGAAGCGTTATGCGCACGAGTGGAGAGAAAGTTGGGAGAAGGTTGACACCATTCGCAACGCCATGCGCAAGTACCCGCATGCTGAATGGTACGTGCTGCGTGAAGATGATGTGGTCTAGGCTAATAATTCGCAGGTTCTGGTGGCTTGATACGAACACGTTCATTATGGAGCCAACGTACTCCCTTCAGAAGCATGTCTTCAAGCAGCTACAAGACGTGACATATCGCGACATCAACGTTTACAACCCCCTCAACATCACCCATCCTCTGACCGATGAATACCTCGACCCCGAGACTCGCTCACCAGTGGGAGACGGCAAGGTCGACTCTGTCAACATGCTCTTACCCCAAGACTGTGGCGGTTTCAATCTGGGCTCATTCATGGTGCGAAGAAGCGCGTGGACCGACAGGCTGCTTGACATCTGGTGGGACCCTGTCGGCTACGAACAAAAACATATGGAGTGGGAGCACAAGGAGCAGGACGCTTTCGAGTACATGTACCAGAATCAGCCCTGGATCAGGCCTCACGTCGCCTTTATCCAGCAACGCCAAATCATGAGTTTCCCACCAGGCGCATGCGGTGAGAATGGCGACAACCCCGATATCCACTACCAAGAGCAAGATCGCGACTTTATGGTCAACATGGCTGGCTGCGAATGGGGTCGCGACTGCTGGGCTGAGATGTACAAATACCGCCAACTCAGTAACCACCTGAATCGCACACCCTGGGAGAAGTTCAAGGACGGTATTTCGGACTTTTTCAAGAGCAGGACAAAGAAGGAGGAGAAGAAAGAAGAGAAGAAGAACTAGAGATTTCACGAAACATGGGGGTTGGTCTGGATGAACTGGAACGCATTTCGATATATTTTGGATTTCCCTAAGCCTGCGGCTCGGTTTACGATTTTGCTATAATACCCGCACGCATAGAGGAGGATGTATGACAGTGGTATGATATCTGCATGGATCGGAGTCGATGTTCCATACCTGTACGATACGAAATTGGCTTTCGGCGAACTGGACACCGAGCTGGACGGTGTGTTTGCATCTCATTCGTAGGATCGCTATTTGTATTGCAAGGTCTCCCCAGTTGTTCATACCAAGCCTGTGACGTACTCCAGAAGCAGTATGGGGATCAAGGAAAGGAGAACTTGAACTCGATACAGATGAGCGAACCTACAGTATGCGGTATTGGAGGACGCGAATCTCCTGCAAGGCATGCACGGGAGAGCTGGCCTCCCTTGTCAAGTCCATGTCGAAGAAGAACAAAGTCTACGTGGCGCAACTCGACTCGCTTCACACCCCAGATAATGACGTTATAGATAGCGTGTGGTAAACAAGCGTCGAGGAAGGTGGAGTGATGGTCAATCTGTGTAAACTTTGGCATGGTTGTACGTAGCACTGAGAGATGAGGCTGCGCGACTACGCGACCATGTCTTGCACACCGCAGACCACAGGGCAAATGCGCTCAGGAGGTAGATGCGCATGTCCTGGATAAAGGCAGGTGAGCACGTCTAGACTCGCCAGGCTTGGATAGGAAGGGGAGTGAGCGACGTCTGATTCGTCCGTCACCCACACCTACTGCCCATGGTCATACGCCAACGACCAGACGGGACACGGGGTCAGGAACGAGCAGCCGTCTACGTACTCCAACCTCGACCTCGCGATATCTCTCCTTACATCAACTTGTCTCCTTCCGCTTGCTACGGTCGCTCTCTGTCGTGTTCCTTCGCGCCCCGCCCAAGGCGATTACCGTGATCTCCGCTTTCCACCCTTCCCCACGAAACGTCATTACGCCCAGACCCTGGCCGTGCGCAAGTTGGGGAGCCAGTCTACATAGCGTCAGCTCGTCCGCGGCCTTACCTTATCTCCAACGACGACTCGCAGCGTCGCCGCGACAGGATTCGGTGGCTCTGGGTGCCGTGCCTTGTTTCTGGGCCCCGATAAGCTGTTTCAGAGCTGCGCTGGCCTTTCTTGCTTCCATCAACAAGCTGTAGCGTTCCGAGTCCTAACAAAGAACCGAAGTCGGAACGGCCCTTGGGATCCACTTGAGCGCATACCTCCACACCACCGGTCAACCTAGGGCTCGGGGATATAAGGACTATCGCTGAGGTCCAGCGCCGCAGAGCTCTATTCAAGGCTCGAGTTTGTGAAGGTCAGGGTGCGATGCACGATCACCGTCCACCGCGAGCAGGCAGACAGAACATAGGGGCCGACGACGCGAACCACCAGGACCAAGCCATGCCTCCTTCTCGACATGTCGCTGCGTCTTCAAGGCAACGCTCAGAAGGTATGACACTTTCTCTTTCAATACTGCACTGCATCTGTATGTCGAGCAACAGCTAACACATCGTACACAGAGTCATGGATTGATCTCGCATCGGCGCCTTCGTCAACCTCCCTATCCTCTGCGACCGACGAGATCATCACAACGGGCCTCACGGTGCAGCACGACTCCAACGCGCACAGGCGGCCCAACAGACGCTCACGAGGCGGCGGTCAGTTCTCCATAGGGACAGGACACCGCATCACAGCGGGAGGGAACAGTAGTCAGGAGGAGTATGAGGAGAGCGAAAGCGAGTCGGACAGGGTCATGACATCCTCCAACGAGGCTATCGCTCCGTCACCTCTGAGGCAAACTCCGCAGTCGGTCGCGTCTTCGGAGACCATGTCTGAGAGGGAAGATGATGACGATGAGAATGCGACGGCGGTCAACTACCCACGTTCCTCAAGACGGGAGTTCCAGCCACGGCCAAACGCCTTCTCGCACCCGAACAACCAACAAGCTATCCGGTCGCAGTCCGGCACCCTGTACACACCTCGCAGGAACGTGAGGCCGGCTGGACAGCGACAGCACTCCTACCCTCAGCATAACCCTTACAATGCCATGGCACCCAACTACCAACCCGACCACGACGAGGCCCTCCGCGCCAGCCTATCCACGTTGCTCTCGGCTGCCGCCGCTGTGCGTGGCCTCCCGAAGCCAGGCCAACCGCGCGCGAACACTCCCTCATCCACACGAGTCGATCCATCCTCCCTCCGCATGGTGCCAGAGTCCGTGGCCTTGGGCAACATATCCGAAGAGGCCGCATCATCCCCATGCAGCACCAGTAGCAGCCCTTCCGAGAAGTCCAAGCGCAAAGCCAGTCCGCCAATAGCCGGTGCTCGCAGCAGCAGCAAAGACCGCCGTACTGTCAAAAAGGCACGCAAGACAACCCCGATGATTGAGGAAATCAGCCCGACGCTGCTTACCTGGGTCGTCAGCGCTGGCGTCGTAGTCCTGGTCAGCGCCATCGGCTTCTCGGCTGGCTATGTCGTTGGCAAAGAGACCGGACATGCTGAGGCGATGGGTCAGATTGGCACCGCAGGTTCCGAGGCTGGACGCTGTGGTAAGGAAGCTGCTGCAGGCATGAAGGGCACTGGCCTCGGCCTGCGGAAGCTACGATGGGGTTCTGGCGCGGGAATCCGCGTCTAAGCATCCACGATAACGGTGATGACATGACATGCATAGCATTTAGCGAACACGAATTTGCAGGTATTGCGGGCGTTTTCATTCCTTTCTACTACGACAGTTTGCATATTGATATCACTCGGCATGGCGCTGGTTTGGCGTTGGGCTTGGTCTGAAAGTTAGGAAGTCTTGGGGTCGTGGCTACGACTCCATGGAAAGTGAGAAGATAGTTGGTGCTGTTGCATGCACGTATAATGTATCGGGATTGCTGGTCGCTTAGCTACGATGGCAGTTATAGACTCAATATAGGCATTTATTCTTATGATACATGCACGTCAACCTAGGGAAAAAGTGAACACCCTAGGGTCTACATCGATGTTAGCACACCTACTTTGCACGTACTCATGTTAACGTAGTCTGCAGACCTGTCTAGTTTTTCCCTTGTATAAGGTGCATGTATTGCTATCGATATCGGAGCAACCTGTGAGGTCGTGCTCTGCAAGACGTTCATCGACGACAGTTGCAAGTAGGATAGTGTTACTTCTCTATAGGGTCGTCCTCTTCCACTGCAGTCTTGGTGTCCGATGACTTGCTTTTCATAGATGTAGACTCGTCGTCATCGCCACCAGTCCCTCGTCCTCAGGCTCAGCTTCTTCGTCGGGCGTTGTCTCTTCGTCGGACGTTGTCTCTTCTTCATCCACGTCCGTTTCCCCCTCATCGTCGTCTTCATGCTTCAACGCATTTGTGACTTCAATTGGCTTACGCCGAGTATTTTTCCTAAGCGCCTCGCAAAATGCCTCGCACTCGCGCTCGAGTACATCATCATCCTGGAGCCAACAGATCAACCTAACGCTTACCCTCTCGAGTCCCAGCATGTTTTTGAACTCCCTGGCGAACATCCTGCTCAAAGTAGTCAAGTTCGGCATACAGCCCTTTATGTCGTAGAAGATTATCTCTAGAGCTTTGATGGCTTCGAGCTGGTGTGGCTCGAGCTGCTCAACTATCTTGAAGATCTTTTGGTCGTCTATGATGATTACGTTGTTTTTGAACAGTAGCGTAGAGGTGTCTGAACGGATTTGTCGGCACGTCGATGTGACGTCTAGTAGATCGGTGGGCTCGCATCCTTCCGGTTGGTAGTCTGTCTCGCTCGTGCGATAGTGGTGATGTGAGCGACCGAAGTAGACACTGCCGACGGAGAAGACGTAGTTGTAGATCTTATTTCGAACTTCTCCTGGCAGCTTTAGGAGTGGTGACTCGAGCTGGTTGCGTCGTGTACTGTCAATGTAGTCAGCATGGGGGTCTGTCATGATGACTTCAACGTTCAGACGTACATTGTATCTGCCTCGGCCATCATATCTTCTGTATCGGACATGGTTGAGTGCAGGTTGTAGGATATTTTGAGTTGCGGAAGAGTATTAAGTAGACTTTAGATGTGACAGAGGTAATAAATCAAGCGAGCAAGATTTTTGTATCACGCCCGATGTTGATAGTCTTAGGTGAATGGATGGGGTGTGACTTCTTTGCTATGAACTACCCTGTGAAGCTACTACTACAGTGTTGCGGGATCTGCGCAGGCATTCATTCCATTGTGGCGCGGGAATGAAGAGCAAGGAATGAGGAGCAAGTTGAATATGCGGTTCTGTGTCACCGTTCACTTCCTCAGGCACACGGAATACAGAAGATGGGTGCAATTGATGTGAAGAATGCTTGATTTGTTTAGGTGAATAGCCCCATCCTCTTTCAGTCAGCCAAAGAGCACCCTTTCCTATACGTTGCTCCAATATTTGCCTCTACGCCACGACCAGATTTCATTGGCCAGCTGGGGTCGTATGAATCCATATCTTCGACAGCCTCGTGCCGACAGCTAAGCGGAAGTCTTCACAAAGTTCCTAAGAATCGGGCACGATATCTACATCATCTCGACCGAGTCCCTTCTCGACAGCCTCGACTAAATGTATACGCCCTGATAGTCCCAAATTTGGACAGCAGAAAACTTCCACGCGCTTCAGCCCCGTCAACAATCTGACCTCTGACCACAAAAATTTCCATACTGCGCCACTTATAGCGTTCATGTAATGCGTACGTATGATTGATATGGCCTGACGCTGAGTGGTGTTCAGTCTCTCTATTTGATAATGGAACAAGGACCTTATGACATCCATAGTACACAGTTCGAATGGTAGAATCCTGGTCTCCGCGTAGAGCTGCCGAGACACGAGCGTCAAGCCGACGAGTCGATGGAGAGGTGTGAGCGAGACGGACGGATCATAAGACAATGCAGAAAAGAGGGCCGATTTCCTGTTTCTGTAGGAGATGCGAATGTCCATACCACCGAGCGCGTATGCGCATATCTTGTTCCGTAGCTCAGCAGGTAGGCGAAGAAGAGGTGAGCGCTGGCGATTGACCTCGGAGCTATACATCGCGTAAGCTTTTGTGGAACGTTGTGTTACTTGAAACTTACATGACTTCGGCGGCTTCGCTAGAAAGTCTCTCGCCCGAAGGATCGACGATAGTATCGTAATAAGTTGGCATCTTGTTCGTATGGAGTTTACGCGTTCCGAAGGGTAGCTGTGGGAAGTGGAAGAGGAAGTAGAAGTGGAAGTGACAAGGTAAGAGACAGTGCCAAGACTAGGCTCACCTTCACTCTGCCCAGTGGTCGCACCTGCCTTCCAGAGCCTCTCATCTACAAAGGGAAAGCGAATGACAACAAACAAAACGTGGCTTCCAGCACCTCATCCCAGGGGTTTCAACCTCGCTGTCGAGATACACAGACAACCCAGAAGACTACATTGCCTCAAGATTTTTTTAAACTCTTTGTTTCATACTAATGTTAACGCCAGCGTCCCTGTTACTCAGGCTGTATACCAGTTATTTATTGCTACTATACTGTCGATAGGAACGTGTATCATCGTCTCCGTCTGGGAAAATAACGTGAATTACCCCACGATCTTCTCGTGGCATCACAGAACATGCACTTCAGCACAAAATCTGCGAAAATCAGCGGACTAGAGTAGAACTAAATGTATCCTTGACTACCTGGCCACATGAGTGGTAAACTTTTCAAGTAGATTGAAAGTAAAAGGAACTGATACAACTCCCGCTGACCGACCCATAGAGCTGATCGCAAGCTGGAAACGCTATACACATGAGAACATAATCTTCATCCCGATCATCCTATCCCAAGATCTTGATGTTACCCGACCCTACATCTGGATATATCTCTTACAATGAACCATTCCTTTTCCCTGATAAAACCTCAAAATTCTCGTAGTAACCAAGAAGTTTCCTCCCCTATGGTCGACCGCCAACGAAGTCGCTCCATGACCTGACTTCACTGGGGATACCCTCCTTCTTGGGCAGCTTCTCGCTCATACATTGGGCGAACAGAACAGCAGTCTACATTGAAATTAGCTTCTCATCTCTTGAATGTCCGGGTGAGGAACTTACCTTGGGCTCCATGAATAGCGGAACACCGAAGTCGACTGCGTTCCTCCTCATTACGTAGTCCTCGTCAAACAGGCCACTCGCCCTGTACTTGGCCAGGTTGAAGCAGCCACGGATGTCGTTCTTCTCAAACACCTCACGGAGTTTCCTCTTGTCATCCTTGGGGAACTCGATGACGTCGACGCTGATGCCCTCGGTGTTCTTCTCCAGAAGCTCCTTGACGTCCTTGTTGGCAGCAAGGAACCTGTAGCCAAGTGCGTGGACGTACTTGGCGATCTGGATAAGGGAGTTCGCGTGGAGCGAACCGGGTGTAACATCACCACCGAAGAGGAGACCCTCACCGGGCTGGGGAAGACGGAAGTTCATCTGCGATTGCGCGGACGCCCAGTAGGCCTCGACCAGGTCCTTACCGAAGCAGGCCATTTCACCGGTAGATGACATCTCTACGCCAAGGTAGGGGTCAGCACCCGCCAACCTAGTCCAGGAGAACTGGGGAACCTTGGTGGCGAGGTAGTTCCTCTCAACGCTCATGAGGTCAGTTGGCTCGGGAACGTCACGGCCAACGAGAGCCTTTGTAGCAACTTCGATGAAGTTGGTACCAAGGACCTTGCTGACGAAGGGGAAGGAACGAGAGGCGCGGAGGTTGCACTCGATGACCTTGAGGTTAGGCTCGGAGCCCTCAACTTCTTCCTTGATGATCTGCATGTTGAAGGGACCAGTGATGTTCCAGGCCTTGGCAACCTTGTCTGCGATCTCCTTGACACGTTCCTGGATGCGCTTGTCGAGGTGGACAGGGGGCAGTACGAGGGTGGCATCTCCGGAGTGAACACCGGCGTTCTCAATATGCTCACTGACAGCGTGGACAAGGACGTTTCCGTTGGAGGCGACAGCGTCGCAGTCAATCTCTTGAGCGCCGTCAATGAACTGAGTGATGACAACTGGGTGGTCGGGCGAGACGTTGGAAGCAGCAAGGAGCTTCTCCTTCAGCTCATCCTCACCGCGGATGACAGTCATGGCAGCACCTGACAGGACGTATGATGGGCGAACGAGAACTGGGTATCCGACGGAGTTTGCGAACTTCTTTGCCTCCTCATAGGAAGTAAGCTCCTTCCAGGCGGGCTGATCAACACCGATTGAGTCCAGGATCGAAGAGAACTTGTGGCGATCCTCGGCCTTGTCGATGTCGTGAGGGTCGGTTCCGAGAACCTTCGCCTTTCCAGACTCTTGGAGCTTGAGAGCAATGTTCTGGGGGAGTTGGCCACCGACAGAGACAACAACACCGCTGGCAGTCTCCAACTCGTAAATATCCATAACACGCTCGTAACTGAGTTCTTCGAAGTATAGCTTGTCAGCAACGTCGAAGTCGGTCTAAACAACGGTTAGTTCGGCCCAACGTATGCGTTCATGCCACCTACAGAGTATGTCTCGGGGTTGTAGTTGATCATGACAGTCTTCTTTCCGAGCTCGTTGAGGGAGCGGGTAGCGTTGACAGCACACCAATCGAACTCGACTGAGCTTCCGATACGGTAGACACCGCTTCCAAGAACAATAATGCCATGGTCGTCGAAGGTGACGTCGTGAGAGGAAGCGTTGTAAGTGGTGTAGAGGTAATCTGCAAATCGTTAGCAACACTCATAAATGGAGGGAAGCACTCGTGAACGCACTCGTGTCGGCTGGAAATCTATTGTAGTTCAGTCAGTACGTGTCTTGCATGAGGTTAAGATAGGGACATTGCTTACTCTGCAGCCAGTGTGTCAATCTTCTTGACCCAAGGCTTGACGCCGAAGCTCTTCCTGCGAGCGCGGACCTCGTCTTCAGTGCTGTTAACAGCCTTGGCGATCTGCTTGTCAGAGAAACCGAGCTTCTTGGCCTTGAGGATGATCTCCTTCTTCAGGCCGAACAGGCTGCCTATCTCCTCAAGCTCGTGTGTGCAGTCGACGATGTTCTGGAGCTTGTGCAGGAACCACTTGTCGATCTTGGTGAGGTCGTGAACCCTGTCGACAGTGTAGCCTTCGTGGAAGAGCGCCTGACCGACGGCGAGCCATCGGCGATCGGTGGGGTTCTTGAGCTCTTCGTCCAAGCTCTCGCCGTACTTCTCGCCCTGGAAACCGAGGTACTTGGGGTCGACTTGACGGCAAGCCTTCTGGAAGGACTCCTCGAATGTACGGCCGATGGCCATGACTTCACCGACAGACTTCATGGAGCTACCGATGTCGCGCTTGACGTTCTGGAACTTGCTGAGATCCCATCGGGGCATCTTGGTGACGACGTAATCCAAGCTGGGCTCGAAGTTCGCGGTGGTGGTCTTGGTGACGGCGTTGGGCAATTCAGGGAGAGTGTGTCCGAGACCAATCTTGGCCGCGGTGTACGCGAGAGGGTAACCAGTGGCCTTGGATGCCAATGCGGATGAACGAGAAAGACGAGCGTTGACTTCGATAACCCTGTAGTCGAGGCCATCTGGCTGCAGGCAGTATTGCACGTTGCACTCGCCAACGACTCCCAAGTGACGGACGATCTTGATGGACGCAGAACGGAGCATGTGGTATTCCTCGTCGCTGAATGTCTGACTGGGTGAAACAACGATACTGTCACCGGTGTGCACACCAAGAGGGTCGAAGTTCTCCATGTTGCAGACCGTGATGCAGTTGTCGCTTGCATCGCGCACAACCTCATACTCGGCCTCCTTCCAGCCCTTCAGGGACTTCTCGACCAAGATCTGGGGCGAAAGTGTGAGGGAGCGAGCTGACAAGTTCTTCAACTCCTCAGGGTTGTTCGCGAAACCTGAACCGAGACCACCGAGCGCATAAGCAGCACGGACGATAATGGGGTATCCGACCTTCTCGGCAGCGTCCAGTGCCTCGTCAACAGTGGAAACGGCAATCGACTTGGCGATGGGAATGTTGATCTCGTCGAGCGCGCGCGCGAAGAGGTCACGATCTTCACTGGTCTTCAAAGTCTGGACACTGGTTCCGAGCACCTTGACGCCGTACTTCTCGAAGATACCCTTGGCATCCATCTGTACACCAAGGTTCAGCGCAGTTTGTCCACCGAAGCTGAGGAAGATGCCATCGGGCCTCTCCTTCTGGATGACATATTCGGCGTATTCGGGAGTTACAGGCAGGTAGTAGATTTCGTCGGCGAGCACGTGGGATGTTTGGATGGTAGCAATATTAGGGTTGAGAAGAACAGACTTGACGCCAGCCTCCTTCAGAGCCTTCAGTGCTTGTGAACCTGGTGGTTGATTAGCATGGCGCAAGTTTGCGTGTGCACGAGAATGTATGCGCACCTGAGTAATCGAACTCTCCGGCTTGACCAATGCTGAGACCACCGCTACCAATGACTAGGACTTTCTTGACATCGACCAAGTTCTGCGCGCCAGAAATGACGCCGCTCTTCAGGTATGCCTCTGCATTAGGCGCAGTCTGTGTCTTATTCCATGTCGACGCGACCTTTGTGAATGCCCGCAGCTGCCGGAGGGCGGCAGGTGACTCTGTGCTGGAGCGGAGCGAAGTCAACGGCCGAGCACTTCGGGTTGTGAAACTTCGAGAGTATGTGGAAGGAGCAATAGAGCGGGTGTGACCTGTAAGGGAAGGTACGCGACGTGCTAGACGTCCGCAGAGAGCCATTTGCAGGCAGTCAAGCAACTGGGTAGCTTCGGGCTCGACAAAGGATAAGGATGGAGGACTAGGCGTCGAACGCGCGGGAGGAAGGTCGCTCGGTGGCCGACGGGTGCAATTGAAGGCTTATAGCTCGACCCAGTTGAGCAGAGCACGAATGACTCCCTCCGGGTTTATGTATAATCTGTGGGGAAGATGTGATGCGGCAGCCAAAAAATTCCAATGATGCGCGACGGGCCAATCAAGCTATCTCCGATAACGCACAGATAAGACCGTCGGCGATCCTGGGAAACGGGAGGGACGAAGCGTGGTATGCGGTCATTTACTCCCTCTATTTAATTCGCATTTCTTGAAATTGGTCCACTCATTATACGCGACCCAGTCACAAGTACGCCCGATGTAAATGCGAATTGCTCTGTTTGCTACCATATTGTCGCGAGCAACATCGATGCGGAGCACCGATTGCGGCGCCGAAACTCTGATCCCCAGCATTCTGGCACGCAAGCACGGATGAGAAGAAATTTTGACATGGTCGTGCAGAGCTTTCTCCATACAGTCACACTAGCGCGTTGCGGAAGTCATTGCATTACTACTTTCAGCACCATGCGCACCTTCTTAGTAGTCATTCGTCTGTGAGGGCGGGTAGCACGAGTCGTGACACTCCTAAACGTACACTCGTTGTAGTAGAGTATGCCAACAACTCGCGCCCTTCAAGACCGCTTTCTTTGCGGTCTCTATGATCACACATCCACAAAATGCCAACATTGAACTAAACCAGTATCACATTGTGCCAATACGCTAATTCACTTTGTGGGGTCTTCGGACCGTTGGTGACTCCTCATGCTTGGGCCGGCACGATGAAGAAGCCTGGCGCGTTTCTGCCACGATCGCAGCACTCGTGTGCTTCTGCGCACGAGCAGGTGTATGACTGTGCCTCTGGCCGAACTTCCTCATCATGCCTTCTTTGCCTTATCTGCCTTGTCTGCAGCGGTGTGCCGATTCTTGTATTCGCGTGGGCTCTCCAGTGTCTTACTGCTGGCGCCTCCCATCCTCTGTATGAAGTTTGGCTTTGACCACATCCCGACCCTGTTCTCGCGAGCCTTCCTTTCTGCAGCACGATATTTTTCTTCAGCGGTACCGAATTCAGCACCTGTTTTGGCCTCGTATACGGTAGCCAATCCAGCCTTCAGCATCTCCAATCCAACGTCTTTCCTGAAAAGCCATTTGCGCACAAAAACTTGGGCGACGATGCGATCGTATTGATCACGTCGGTATATGTAGGCGCGTACTCGGCGGTTATGGATCAGATTGATGAGCCATTCATGGGCCTCTTTCGAATACGGCTGAGCTTCTCGGCCCCAGTGTGCAAGTTCTGGAGCGTCGACTCCAGCAATCCGAATGTGTAGCTGGGTGCAAAGTTAGCCGTCAATAACGACGTGAAGCCCTACCGTGACGTCTAGTACCGTCTTGTTACAGAGCACTTACTGTCTGCCTGACGAGATCCTCTCTTTTTGATGGCACCTTCTTCCAGGGCAAGATACCCCACCCAGCTATTCTCCCACCTGGCGTGTGGAATAACCTGAAGTTATCTGCATCTCCAACACTCGTGACTTGGCCAAATACACCTTTGCGGCGGTAGTAGTTTGGCTTGATGTGGTTGACGGTTGGGATGCGACGCAGGTAGGACTTGTAGAGCCGGACACCAGCAACCGTCGAGACTGTGAGCGCGATCGCCGGAATCAGGGTCCTCGGCTCATACAGCGCGCTTGACCAGTTGTTTGGCTTCGCTGGCGCGATCCAATCTGCGAGTCCACCTTTCTTTTGGTCATCGTCGTTGCGTGACCACGGCCATCGCATTGTTTATTATGCGAGGTCGTGAGGTGTGGGAAGTGAAGACAGAAGACGGTGTGGGCCTCGAATTGTTGGCAATTGGCGCAATCGCCTCGGTTTACATAGAAGGTTAGCGTCAATAGGTATCACGTGATTCCCATGCGTTGTGAAGACTCCAGGACAAGGGCAGAGGATTTGGAGAGAACTGAAGATGTAAAGTGCATTTGATTAGACTATCGAAAATTCTATCGTGTTCAGGTACATTGTCAGTATGTCAATGACGTGACGCCCAGTTGGCTTTCGACCCGGGAGCTGCAAAAGTACGGTGCGCCACGGTGAAAGCACACATTCTTCTAAGCGTCGATGTGTATCCGAGCGTTATATGTCCCAGAATCAGGCAAAGGCTGCGATGGGTTGTGCTAGCAGGATCTGGCAGCCCTGAGCCCATGGTGTAGCACCAGCTATTGTCTTAAAAGTATGCCATCGGCTTTGCAGGCCATCACAATCCACGCAGCACCAAGGAATATGTGCAACGGATGACACGTAAGTCTGCGAGGGAGCAGAGGGCATCTCGAATAGTGCCTCGTAGACTACAACGCGCAGTCAAGATCATCCAATTCCGATGTTGGGAACTCGGTAGGCCGCGATCCGCATAGACGATATGTATGATGAGTCTCGGTTGGTGGATATGATATAGTCGCAGTCTCGGATCAAGTACGGTGAAGGTTTGCGCAGGAATCTGTGAAAATAGGTGGCTTCTAGGGTTCTGTATGTCTCATCAGTCATGATCCAATCAGAGTGATATATACGTATCGAAGTACCTGCTATGTACAATAACATGTATTGACTTTCCCCCCTCATATGCTTCTATAATTTCCCTCAGTTAGCTTCGCCAGTCGAGGCTTGCCTCAGGAGGCGCAATATGATGAATGCAGACATGCATGGAATGATCGAAAGCCTCGAAGCCATGCTGTCGCGACTGCTGGTGAGGTATGAACAGACTGTGTGGACGTTTTGCGCAATACCTAGACCCAGGCGAAGGCCTTCGAGATGGTGATGCGGATGTCTGGGGCTGGGTGTCGCAACGAGTTGTAGCACTGCTCGCTTCCGTAAGAGCGGGGTCAGCATTGCAGCTATCGGCGCTTCCAGGATGCCAAGCTACGCATTAACATTGAGAAAGTATGCGCAAGTCCACCATGGCCATGATGGATGGTAGATGGGTACCTCGAGGTGGGCGGGAGAGGGATGAAGTCAGGAACGACGGGGTTGGCTTGGACGGAGTTTGCCTAGGTGGGTATGGCGCGTTTCTTTTCGTGCCTCGACCTCCAACTCTGGGCATCAGGTCTATCGTCTACTTGCATCCTGCCACCATCGCTACAACTTCAACCGAACCCCTCATGTTTTCGCAATAACTCTCACTCGTTACACATTCTGACATTCGTAGTGGAATTGTGGCCGACTACTGACTGCGGCCCGTAGCCGCTTCCTCGTCAGGTGCCTCCCATTCCCTCCCCGGGTCTCCATCAGCATGTTCTCCATCGCATCCACAGCCGATCCCACCGCACTCGATGACGGCACATATCTCTTCGATCAAACTCACGATGATCTCCTATCGATGCCAATGTCTAATGATAGCATACATCTGAAAGGCGGCATCGCACCTATACCTGGGTTTAGCAACCTGGGCTACGGCCGGGAATCGAGTGCGTCGTCCGTGCACTACGGCGATTCTCGCGATACATCAGAACTGGGTACAAGTCACGAAGGGGAGGAGTCTACTCCAGGTGCATTCGTTAATGGATATGGGGCCAACTATACACCTTCGCCACTGCAAAAACCATTCACACCAAACTCAGGCATCAACGGCCTGACTAATATCCCGAACAAACATTCATCGCATCTGAAGGGCGGCAGTTCGCATGCGATTGCCAACGGAAACGACGCGAAACCTCATTCATCATTGAAAGACCATCGAAGGGACGCAGCGTTTACGACAAGAACACCACAGAGCCTGAGTCGCGCATCACATGCATCTTCAACCCCCGAGCTTGCGCAGTCACACGAGCAGCCGAAGAAGCATCGAAGGACAAATTCTCTTCCGGCGAAAGGAAAGGTCATTGAGATGAAGGCAAATTCAAGCATACCTGCAGAGCTTTCCTGGCCAGAGTTTGGCAGGCAATGTATTCTAGCAGCAGAGAACAGTCGGCTCAACCCATTCACTCTACATCCTGCTGAGTACGAGCTACTACGAGATCATGTAACTCACGCCCAGGTTACCATCTACCTCAACATCAGGAACGCGATACTTCGCTTGTGGCATCGCAATCCTCTGGTATACGTCTCTCTCGAAGAAGCGGCGGGATGCGCTCGTGACAAGCGTTATTTTGGCCTCGCGAAGGTGGCACACTTGTGGCTCATGAGGAACGGATACATCAACTTCGGATGCGCTGAGGTGCCTGATACTACTGGTACACTACCCAAGTCGAAAGCCAAGGTCGCGCGAAGACGGACCATAATCGTGGTGGGTGCGGGCATGTCGGGGTTAGGATGCGCTCGCCATCTGGAAGGACTGTTCGCCCAGCTTGGTGATCAGTTGACAGAAGCAGGAGAACTTCCACCAAAGATTACTGTCCTTGAAGCTCGCCCACGCGTTGGAGGCCGTGTCTATTCGCACCCCTTTCTCAAGCAGTCCGGCTCTACACTCCCACCTGGGCATCGCTGTACAGCTGAGATGGGCGCTCAGATCGTTACTGGATTCGAGCACGGCAACCCGTTGAATTCGATCATCCGAGGTCAGCTCGGCATACCCTACCACGGTCTTCGCGACAACACTATACTCTACGACTACGATGGCACGGTTGTGGAGAGAGGTCAAGACATCTTGGTGGAGAAGCTGTACAACGATGTCCTCGAACGAGCGGCAGCATACCGAAACAAGCCAGCAGCTCATAGGACGGTAGAAGGTGACCGTGACCTGATGGCCTTTGGCCGTGAGCCAGCTGATGTTGGTGGTCCTACCGTCGCCGAATTAGAACACTCCGATGCTCCCCTATCCGCAAACGCTGCGAGCACCGCGTCAATGAAGCAAGAAAAACCGACAACAGGGGTGGAGAAGCTAGCTGGTAGGGCGTACCAACTCAGCGCTGGCTTCAACCCGGATGTCACAGCAGCTGACACGGTGCAAAGTATGGGTTGGGAACTCAAAGCAGGTGCATCAGGGACGCAGTCTTTAGATCTTGACACGATTGCGAAAGCGTCCCAGTATCCCACACTTGGGCAGACAATGGACGAAGGTCTTCTTCAATACCAATCGCTTGTCGATCTGAAGCCTAGAGATATGCGTCTGTTGAACTGGCATCACGCTAATCTCGAATATGCGAATGCGGTAAGCGTCAACCAGCTCAGTCTGAGCGGCTGGGATCAGGACATCGGCAATGAGTTCGAGGGCGAGCACAGCGAGGTGATTGGAGGATATCAACAAGTTCCGCGCGGCCTCTGGCAATGTCCCAGTCAGCTTGACGTCCGTTTCAACACCCCTATCAAAGCCGTTCATTACAACACTGAGGAGCAGCACCTGGGCAAAGCTGTCAGGATTGAGTGCACGAACGGCGAGTTTTACGAGGCCGACCAGGTTGTTTTAACAACCCCACTGGGAGTGCTGAAGTCCGGGTCAATCAAGTTCGAGCCTCCTCTACCTGACTGGAAGCAGGACGTTATCGAACGAATGGGTTTTGGTCTCCTCAACAAGGTCAGTCCAATTATGAGACGATTGCTACCCTTTCTAATAATATGCATAGATCGTTCTCGTGTACGAAAAGGCCTTCTGGGAGCCAGACCGAGACATGTTCGGCCTGCTCAACAAAGCAGAGGAGGAAGCCAGCATGCGACCGGAAGACTACTCTGCGAAACGAGGACGATTTTATCTCTTCTGGAACTGTATCAAGACAAGCGGAAAGCCAGTGCTGATAGCGCTGATGGCAGGCGACGCTGCTCACTACGCCGAAGCGACGTCGAACGATCAGCTCGTTAAAGAGGTCACGGACCGGCTCGACGCGATGTTCGCACCGAACCACGTTCCACTCCCAACAGAAGCGATAGTGACGCGTTGGAAGAAAGATCCGTTCGCCCGCGGCAGCTATTCATACGTCGGGCCACAGACACAAGCAGGAGACTACGATATCATGGCGCGACCCCATGGCCCACTACATTTCGCTGGAGAGGCGACTTGTGGTACACATCCCGCAACGGTACACGGCGCTTATCTGTCAGGCCTACGGGTTGCTGCGGAGGTTGCTGAGACAATTTTCGGACCTATCAAGATACCCAGCCCCCTTGTTGAGAAGAAAGTGGTCAAGATCGAACAATCGCCAGGGACACCCAGTGTCGAGACGAAACGCCGATTCGAGCCTGCCGTTCCAGCATCAACGTCGAAGTCGAGAGACAACAAATCTGGGCGGATACAACGCGACGAAGACTATGAAGCTGCCATTATAGGGGCTATATTGGAACAGATTGGTGAACGGCCAATCAAGCCAGGACGTACGGGCGTCAACCCGTTCCTGCTTTTCACCAAAGACTTCTGGTACATCTGCAAGCAGGAGTGCGATGACGCCCACAAAGCTAGGACAGGCAATCCCGAAGCCAAAGCACCGAAGCAGGAGATCCGCAATGCTGTGGGCTTACGGTGGCGCACGGCAGAGCAAGAAGTCAAGCAGCCCTACCTCGACCAAGCCAGCAACGCACGAGACGACGCGACGGCAAGTACAGCAGATTTCAAGGAGCGCGTAGACACGTGGGACAAAGAAGCCGCACGCATACGGCGCGAGTACATCCAGGCCAACCCGCCAGAGGGTGGAAACGAGGAGCTCATTCTTAACAGCCGCACAGCTATCGAGCTGGGAGCCGGCAAGCGATTGCGGAGACTCTAAGTCTTGTTTTGTTGTATTATTCATGTGTCATATTTGTGTTCCGTGGGCTATCAGCATTTGGAGGAGTTGAGATGGAGTTCGGGTAAAAGGGTGGCGAGA